ATTTCTATTTCAATAGTTTCTTAATGAGTAGAGAGAACTTTGAAAATTTTGCTTCGTCAGGGACTGGCAATCACTGTACTTTTTCTGCGTTTAAATTCTCATAAATATGTTAATTTACTTCATACCTTTTAAATTCTAGCATTATATTATCTACCTTAATCCCTAATAGAAAAACTAAAAGGTTTCAAATATATATTAAATACACATGTCCATTAACACAAGGCGGTTGTTTGTATTTCCAGCAGCCATATTTAAAATAGATTTTCGATTATTCTGTTTTAACTAATTTTGTTTTAGCAAGTCTATCTGTGTTTAACTAGTGCTATTAATGCTTTTTACAATTCATGTATTTCATTTTGTGCGACGGAAACATTGTCGCAAAGGGTTATGCTTGAAGTTTATCAGCCTTGACTTATTGTTCATTAATACTCGCTTAAAATAGAAAAATCTCTTTCATAAAACAAAAAATAAATAAATAAATAAAATTTATTTCAGTAATTTCAAATGGTTTATCTGAACAATAAAAAACTTAAGATAAAATATGCGTTTCATTTTCATTATTGCGTATTTCATAGCCTTTTAACTGAACATGAAATTAATTATATCTTAGTCACATATTGATATTTAAATCGAAGACGTTAGGCAACATTTGCCGACAAGGTTTTTTCCTTTTGCAAATCCAAAAGTGGTGAACGCATTTGCCCACCTCTGGCCCTTATGCAAGCAGATATTCGGCTTGGCATCGATTGCTAGAGGTTGCGGATGTCCTCCTGACGGATATCGTGACAAATTCTGTCCATCTAGCGCGTAGACCGTCAACATCCTGAGCTGGTTGGAGGGCCCTGCCCATAATGCTCCAAACGTGCTGAATAGGAGAGAGATCCGGTGACTTTGCTGGCCAAGGTAATGTTCGGCAAGTATTAGAAACATTGCAGTGTGGGGGCGGGCATTATCTTGCTGAAATGTAAGCCCAGGGTGGCGTGACATGAAGGGCAACACAACGGGCTTTAGAACTTCGTCGACGTACCGTTGTGCTGTAAGGTTGCGACGGATGACAACCAAAGGGGTCCTACTATGAAATGAAATGGCACTCCAGACCATCACTCCTGGTTTGTCAGCCTGTCTGCCGGAAGACAGTCAGGTTGGTATCACATCGCTCTTCGGTGCGTCTCCAGACTCGCCTTCGCTGGTCAGTTCAAAGCAGGACTCATCACTAAAGACTATTCTACTCCAGTCAGTGACATTCCAGTGCGAATGAGCCCGACACCACTGCAAACGGGCTAGACGTTTGTACAGAGGTCAATGGTAGTCGGCGCAAGGGGCACCGTGACCTCAGTCCCCTTTCTGTGAGCCGTCTATGAATGGTCTTTGCGGTCACTGAAGCACTAGTTGCACGTACAATCGATGACAATGATGCATCTGGGCAGTGAGTTCCCCACTGACGATTGCTCGGTCTTCACGTTCTGTCGTTTCTCTAGGCCTACCGCTTCCTTCTTGACGCTGTGTGCGGCCATGGTTCACCCATTCCTGCCAACATCGTCTAATAGTGGCATCGCTCCTGCTCAAATGTCGAGCTATTCGCCGATAAGACCAACCGGCTTTTTTGAGCCCAACTACACTACTCTCAAATTCTGACATCTGCGCATATCGTTCGCGCACCTGTATGCGAGGCATAATTACTGTCTACCAGAGTACACGGAATGAAATTCGGGAAGAATTTATGAGATAATTTCTCTTAAATATCCTGCCAGTTGCGCAGATCAGATGCGCTATAGCGACAACCGTTCATTGATTGGCAGCCAAAATGTAAAATTTTGCATTTTCGGTCGAAACCTGTATGCATATCAATTTGTGTCCAATTTGCTTTATATCTTCTCGGTACGTCGTTTTTTTTTTTTTTTTTTTTTGTCTAAGAGTGTATTTTATACATTGGAACATCTTTCGGTTCTGATTAATGGTCCCGATTCTAATCCTTATTAACTGTCAGCTTTTCAAGAATTTGTTTCTTTGTTTTCTTTGCTTTTTTGTTCATTTTCGGTCAATAGATAATACCACTGGCTTCCCTTTTCTAACAATTCTGTACAACATTCTCCACTTACTTTCCATTATTCTAAAACAGGCACATGTTTCTTCTGTGTTTTCATTCCTTTAGCTGGGAAAGAATCTTCTATTTAACCTTCGAAACAGCAGTGTCATGCAAATAGGCTTAAGATACACTAATTCTTATTGTTTATTATTAATTTTTTAAACATCAGATATTTTGTTTCTTTTGCGAATACAAATTCTTCTTTTAGTGAAACTAAACTGATAAAATTAAGTCCTTTTCTAAAAGTTTGCAAAATGTCAAAGTGTGTTCGGATATCAAAGAATGTGGCAGTATCTTTTGTGCCAACGGATGTCTGGAGAGATAAAGTTTATGGTTATGAGATTTAAAATTTTGTGAAATGTAAGTGCGAATAAAGCACTTACATTTGTAACAAGGGTATATGTAACAAACGTGTGCTGAATGAGATGTACAGCGAATCATGCAGTCTTCTCACAAGAATTGTTAATGTATTCTGTACGATCTACCCTGGATAATACTAATGCAACAATATCAAAACAGTTATAAATATTACTATATTTCATTTCTGTCTTTCAAATTTATGAAAACTTAATTTCAGATCAAGAGGACGCTTAAAAATACAGAAACTATGGAAAGGTAAAAAGGTTGCGAAACACATAAATCTTATTAATAATCACCGCATTCGGGTAAAAGAAGATAAATATGAAATGAGTTTTGAGCCTAATACAAATAAAGATGGATCGAATCATCCCATATCATTAAGAAATTATTTAATAGTAACAGGGTTAAACGTTTAAAGCTTATAATGTGGACAAGTATAGACTATGAACAAACACTGTCTTGCTTAATGTTATATATTTACGGTATAATCTCTAAGAGAAAACTTTTTTTAAAAAAAAGAACGGTTTTCATCCGTGTGTTCGGACTTAAAATAAAAAAATCCTGCTGACAACGTAACAGTATTTTCATTTAACTTTCTCTTAAAATTGTTCCAAAACTACTCCTTTCATCAAGACTTTCTGTAAAAACCTTAGATATTACCAAATGCTTTAAGAAGATTTGCTTAAAAAGGAATATGGCAATGCTTCCAAATTTAAATTTGCAGTTTGTTTTTTTTAATTTTGACATTTTTAAGGAAGGATATTTTACTAAACAATAAAAGCATTTAATGCTAGTATTTCATTAGTTTGAACATATTTATTTTAAAACACTAAGAAAATAACTGAAATTTCTATAACACGAATTTTTGATCCATATAAATTGGTGCATTGTCACCTGTCTTCCTTTGAATAGTTTAAATCTTGACATTAAGTACCACAATAACAGCTTGTTCTTCACTACAAAATAACATATTTCTTTATCAAAGACTCTAAGCTTCTCACCAGTTGAAATTTAACATTAAATACAGAACTCGTTAACAACTGTTGTTATCGTCATAAACTACCACTTTTGTAACCATAAATTGCTCGCATTCTTTGTTCAAATAGCCCATTTGTTTATTCTTAGCTGATATAAACTAATAAACAATTTCAGGAAGTTTTAAGAACGTCCGTCTTGATTACTTTTCACTTTCTTAAAATCTCTACTTCAATAATACATCTTTATCTAACTTTACGTAACTTATTTTAACATGTTATAACTTTTAATTCATTCCACCTCAACCATCTAAATTATTTACCTTCAGAAAAATTCCACTATGTTTCATATCGATCGCCATTTCCTGAATCTTAAGATTGGAAAAATGCAGATTCTACACGTGAAGTTCTGTTTCGATACAGAGTACGAATTAAGTGAAATTGCCTCACTGACTTTTACAGTCCTTTCCATATAATAATTTTACAATCAATAAGAAGGTTCTTCACTTTCTTCCAAATGCAAAATGATTTTTTTAATTTCCTCACATACATTAAAAATTTTTTAATGTTACCTAATCTATTCTAATAGAGCTTAATAAGTTTGTACAAATTCATTTTTTATATGTAAAAGAATTTCAATGGATTTAAAAATTAGATCAAAATAAAAGTCACAAAATATGCAAAAGAGATAAGAGACGCTTGTTACAGTCTTATAAAAAATAAAAATAAAAACAAGTAGAGTTCTGCTCAGTAATTTCAGACAACTTTCTACGGTAACACTAACCAATACCTTTCCTACTGACTTTCTGTCATGTCCCATTAAATAATAACTACCTACATTTAATTTACCAAAAATGTGCTACTCACCGAATGCTTGGCTAATAAGTCCAAGATAGCATTTCTAGAAATAACTATATTTCAACAAGATAATCACTATATATTCAGTATGCAACAAGTATGTGTCAATCCCTTGACTATCTTTTTCTCATTACATCCATCTCGAGCTTCCGGCTTCCAAAATTCAGAAATTTGCGAAACTGTATGGGATCTCATTTGAACTAACACTTTCCTACAGTGATCAGCCTGAAAATCAATAGGAAAATATTCCAATTAAACCTTATTATTATTAAGTCTTTAATAAATTTAAATATTTCAGAGTTTTGATACCTTAAATTATACATAAAAGGTCTTGAAGATTATCTAACAAATTTTTAGCTTATTAATAATAAGTTTCTTCTTGCTTGCTTAGGTTTTAAAATATTAAATAGCAAGATGAGGATAAAAAAGCAAATTGATGAATATATGTAAATTAGGTAACATAAAAGTCTGCAAATTTGAAAAGATTTTTCTCCAAAATTTCTTTGACATCACTTTTCTCTAAAAGTTCTTTTACAGCGTCTTAGTTACGGTAAGACCACTTTAAAAATTTCAAATTCCAATTTTTAAGCTCAAGAAACTCCAAATATTTACTTTCAAGTTTATAAGTATTACGAATACAAAAGTTTATACTGTAATTAAGTTGTATGAGTCAATATTAATATTTTTCAAGTATTTTAGTGGATAATTGTTTTTCATTTTAGATTATGGATGTGATCCTGTCCCACCTTTACCGGGCTCAGGCAGGTACAACATGACAGAAGAGAAATCCTGTTGGAATAGACCAAGGGAAGGAGCTATCGTACATTATAGTTGCAACAATACAAAAAAATTGCAGGGCCCAGAGACTTTAATCTGCAGAAATGGATCATGGTTACCTGAGTCGCCAACCTGGACACAACACGCTAAACCTTTCTGTAGTATGTATCAAAAGCATAAACAGCATACTGTCTTTCTTTCTGTTTTAGTAGACGAAACTGTAATTAGATCTGCTATGCTAGATCATAATATTGCATTATTTTTCACATTACCTAGAATAATTGTCTGCGGTATAGCGAAACATTTATAAAATAAAGCAAAGCAACTTAATCTTACAACTCAACATCTTCACCTAAGAAAGAAGAGAAACACGCCAAAGTAAAACATCAAATTAGGCAACCTCTTATTTGACATACATTTAAGTTAAAACTCTATTGATTTTGAGAAAAGTTCAGGAGCAAAGAAAATTCTGAAAAAGAAGAGCCATGGCCGTATTTAAACCATATGGCAAAAGAGTAAGAGGAATGATAAGGTAACGCCATCTATGTACGGAGAGAGTAAAGAAACCTAAAAGTGAATTTAATAGGATTTTAAAAGCGTTAGGAAGAACTAGATTGGAATTAAAGTATTTAACTAAACAAGGTAAATCTTTGTAAATGTAAAAAGCCTCAAGGAAATATAATTTGACAAAGAGAAAAACTTCTTGGATAATTTTTGCAGACTCTAGTCAAAATTGTGATTAAATTTCCATGTATGATTAGCTACCGAAGATTTGTTTATTTTTTCTTTTCAGGCATAAGACTCGTGCTACTACTACTCGAAACTTTAATGATGTTTTAGTTTGACCGATATATCTGAAACCACACCGGCAAGATATGCTATAAATATATATTAAAGTCAGAAATATAATTTTTAAGAATCAAACAATGGATTTCATCTCTAGGTGAGAAAAATGACTTAAAAATTGAAATTCTGTAGAAACCGTACAATTTCATAACTGATAGAGGGATAAAATGGAAGAACGACAAGGTTGCTAATGTTGTTTCTGGTAGAGAAATGGCAAAATGGCTACATTCTTGTTCGTTTTTCTCTTCTGCATTGTGTATATATAGGCTATGGCTTCTCCCTACTTTTGCGGAATACTTTTGCTTCTGATGATGAGGCGCCTATACCCTCAAAATCACTACAGTCTTAATTAAACTCTACGCCAAATGTAAGCTTGTTTTCTTGCCTAATTTTATCTTTATATAATTAAGGATTTTTCCATTTTCTGTCCGCATCTATACTTTTTGGAAATAGTGCTCACTTTGATAATAAGAACCCTATATATATATATATATATATATATATATAAATATTATTTGCATTGTCACTTGTACCTTATAATACAACATTATAAATCAAACTGTATAGCTCTATCTAACATAAATTTTTATAACACTAATAATTTTTATTAAATTTTTCAAAGATAGAACGATACATAAAATTGTAGAACTTTGAAAGCAAATTAAAATATTGTAATACTATAATTAAATATCAATCCTCACTTTTCTGTAAAAATTTGTCTTTTATTATCATTTATGTAATGTATATGTCTACCGAAAGCAAATTTACTCATGTTTCCATTCTGAGCAATTATCGAATTCTTTCACACTGGCTTTCGTGGTAAACACATTCAGCTAGCAGATTGGTAAATCTATGATTCGAATTTCGGGGAGACCATGGTTGATTCTTCACTTTGCTTACTTCAAAAAGCAGAATCGTCTTTATAGTGACACACCAAATAAGAATGAGGTGAACGATAATTCATCGTCACCTGGTTTTAGTCAAGTGATCTCGGGTCTATCTCAAGTCGGGTTTAATTGAAAAGAAATATAAGGAATTATCCTACCCCCCTCCTCGCGCGTGTGCGTTCTCGGATTTTCAGTTTTTAAGCACGTCTGTCTAGCAAATTGAAAGATACGTAAGACGAATGATAATAAGCAAATCCTGATGAGTGCATAGTTTCTTTTTTACACATATTGCTCTAAAATTTCTAAGACATGATAGCCCTAAAGTTTCTATAACATAATCTGTATGCCTATCGAAAAACAAAATTATGCTACTGAAGGAGAGGACTCATCAAGATTAACTTTAATAGTTGAAGACTGGGAATAGAAGAACGTAGTTAACCTAAATTGTCCAGATTAAGATTACCACCCATCTTGATTTCAGTATAAGTTCGAACGTCTGCCATTGATTTAAAAAATTTACTAGAATTAATCCGAAAGTGTTCTCCTAATCGCGCGTTATCGTACCATTTAGATGTGTACTCATCGAAAATTTCCATCAACCTTGAGAAGATACTCCTTAGAAATGTACTATGACGATGAGATAGAAGAGTTCGAAACCAAGGAATGAAGCTACTATTTTGTGAAGTTTAATATGTGAATAATTATACTATCATGCTAAGAAAGTATTTTTTCCTTTATGGAATATTGTTGTTGTTGCTCATGCTCACTTGTCTGACGTAGTCAGTCCAAGCTCACGAAATTCCTCGTGGCAAGGAGCGTTAGATTGCGCCTCCCGTTGGCAACAGCCATCATCCGGCAACGGTTGGCAACAGCCATCCCGTTGGCAGCACCTTTCAGCTTACAGTGCGATTTAGCTCAGTTCCGCCCCCAATTTTGATGGAGAGCACCCCGTTGGGGGACGTATCTAGGGGGCTCCCACCTCTCTCCCCTTCCAACAAACCACACGAGAGGATTTTTCGGCTCGCTGCATATAAGAGTGCTGCCATGTCGCACCGACACTATACATTTACAAATATCCATGCCTTCTCTGGAATTCGAACCCGGGCCCTTCGTCACGTTTTATGCAATACATTTTTATATAAATTAAGTTATTGTTACCATTCCACAGAAGTTTAACTTGGAGGATATAGGAAAAACAGACAAAATCATTACTGAACATTGCCTGCTTGATGAGTTCTCATTGGATATTCTTCAACCATGAATGTATAAAGGAAATTATCAGGACTGCCCGATTAAATATTTTAATTAGAAAATACTAATTTACAGTTTCCAAGACCTGGTTATTTTAGCAAAAATCGAAATTAGTCTTGGCCTAAAAATACGGAACATCGGCCATGAACGAAATAGGTTGTGAACTTCCTACTTGAATTTCTTAGTCAAAAGTTTGAAAAATTTGAACATAATAACTGCGTTTTGATCTTAACAGCCAACAGCTGGTTCTAAACACCAAACACATGCTTTTATTTGCAGAACAGAGCACAGAGGTTGCCTTGGACGCTTTCCCAGTGTTCTTGCGTTCCACGTTTTTCAACATTTAGTACTGCAGATGAGAAACGTGTTGCATTTGTCATAAAATCAAAAAATGAAAATTTACTATTCTTGAAGACTTAAAATTTTGTGAATTTTACTTGCTTTCTAGGCAGTTGTCATCATAGTCCTTTATCATTTTCCATTAAAAGGTAATTCCATTCCTTATATCAATAAAGAACTTTCATGAACCCAAGTACTTTGCATAAGTAAAACTAGATTTAGCCAAAATATTTGTTTTACCTTTTCCACGAGTAATTTTTATCTTTTTTAGTTAATATCAAAACATTTTCCCATAAAATTCTTAGAACTACGTTTTTTGTACAGAACGGTAAATGTCTTAAAACTAAGTTTTTTTACAGAACGGTAAATGTTAAAATAATACTTAATGCAATAACAACAGAATTCAACTGTGCGATTAATGCAGATATAAATTGTCATCAGTTAGGTAATAATAAAAGGATATTTGTAAGCTCTCTTTAAGCGATCTACATTGATCAACAGATCTAATGTGGTTCTTTAGCAGGATAATACTAAATCACGAACTGAAAACATGACTGTACAAATGTTCGGTTCCACTGAACAGTTCAATTGTTACCCATTCTTACTTGTCGACAAAACCTTTCACAGTAAATAATAGTTTGAAAATTGTAATGTATGATAATTTTATGATAGAATAATGATAGAGCAAAAGATTGTTTCAAGAAGTCCATTGAAACGTTTGATTAAAAAATAGTCAGATGCAATAGGTAAATGACGGATATATATTATTAACCAGTTGCAGGCTTCACTTTTTTACTTTTTATATTGTCTATCTCAGTCAGGCATTACTTTCCAATTAACTTGATATGTTCTTGTAACATATTTTAATATTATGCTGAATGTTTTTAAATATTTCATAATAGTAAGTAACAATTGTGTTTTCTGATTTTATAGGCACAGCTCAGACACTGAGAACGCATCTTTTCACAGCATGGATAAAAATTTTGTTAACTCTCTACATGCTTCATAAGCTTTAGGATAATTACAAATTTGCCACCTACGATTTTAATTTCATGATTGATGTGAATAACCCTGGAATTCTTCTTGCAACTTGAGGAATATCAAGATCAAGAGAATAAATGTCAATGAGAGCTGAAGATTAAGACATTTCTGAACTCAAATTTGCATTCATGATTAAATAGTTAATAACAGCTTAGCTTAGAATAAATATTAATCTTAGATGTTTTGCCATGGTATGTGATCAAATTTTTCAGGCAGTTAAGGAATTACTGTTAAAAACAAAAATGCTAGATCACTATGGTAAAATCTATATTTTCAGTTCCCAGACGGTTCTTAAAATGATTCTTCAATAAAATGTTTTGCAGGTGCACGAAACTAATGAGATTTTGTACCCATCAAAAATAAAACAAATATTTGACATTTTTATTTACTTCAAATAAGTCCAAAACTTGTAGTTAGTGAAAAGAATTGTGGTATGATCACTCAAAACAAAAAGACATATGTTACAATCAATACGTTTTTCTTAATATATTGGCTCTCAAGACAAGAGTACATATATGAGACAGAATAAATGTGCTGAAAAATTACTGCACCTTTTCCATAATCTTGAAAAACTTATACTTGATACTATAAATGGTTTTCATTTCGTTTTGAACAGCTGGAAATAAGAATACGGACTTTTGCTCACGTAAACTATTACAGTTTTATGAAAGCAATACATGTAAAACCTATTTACAGATATTTATGTTTGATCGCGAAACTACCATGGACAGCCATTACTTAACAAAAAAGGTATGTTTTATCTCAAACAGCTAATAATTCGAAAGTAAGTAAGCGCTTGTATGGACCAGATTACAATTTATAAGCATTTTTGTGCTTTCTTATTCGAAATTATTAGCTGAATTTTGCGCGTTTGTTGAAACAAATCATCTAAGCGTGCAACGTTCGTGAATCTTTTTTCTTGGAGTTTTATTTTAAAGTGCATTTAATACATGTATACCCCGCTTTACATTCATATCTAAAAGAGTAACTGGAGCAGTTTCACTAGTGATTCTTGTTATAAGCTGTGCTGAAACCAAAACATTTAGTAAATAAATAAATGCAGTATGTAATATCATGTGATCTAATTAAACTGTTGGGAAAATTGATATCTACAGCCTCAATGCAGGTTTCCATTTAAATCATCCCATTAGACGTTCTTTACATTAAGCTTCACTTTGCAGCGAAAATGTTTCTTAGTTGTTACTGAATAAACATTATTGCTTTTTATATTTTAGACTAGCAGCTTTATAATAATTTGACCTAACACCTCAAAGAAACCCGCTAAACTCGACAACAATTTCTGAAAAAACAGGAATATTTTTAGCTTAAAGACTTCATCATATGTAATCAAATTGTTTCAAGTTTTATTATTCAAGAAAAAGGTAACAAAATTCTGGCTGGTACATTTCTAATCAAATAACTTGAATAAATGGTTATAATCGTTAAATGTAACTATAAACATATGTTCCTGTAACTGAGACTAGATCCCTTGCACTGGAACCAAAGTGATTGCTGAGAGCATGAATGCTTCTCATGTGATCAAATACTCATCAATAAATTCTCAGACACTTTTATGTATGCTTGTCAGAAACGTCTATGTACGACCAGTCAAAATAATTTCTTTGCATAAATATGCAAAGAAAACAAATAAAAAAGGGCTTTTATGAAAACCAATGCAATTTGTAGTTAATTGCTTTTTATTAGTTTATGTATTTATTTTTTATGATTTAAATAAAGCTAGCAGAATTGTTTAATCAAAATAAAAGAATAGAATCAGAATTATAAAATGAACTGGATATTCAGCTAATAACGGACCTCTTAATATAGAAGTAAAAAGTAAGAAGATGTTAATTTTAGTAAACGAGATAATATTATTCAGTATTCTTTTTTTTTTTTTTTTTTTTTGGTCCTTTTGGGCCCTTATCCTGTCGGGCGATTGTTACTTGTATGCAGTTGCTTAGACTCATTATATAGCAACAAGAGCTCTACAACTTTAACAGTGCGCTTGGGCTTGTTCTGTTTTTTTTTTTTTTTTTTTTTTTTTTTTTTTTATTAAAATTGTTTCTTATCCTAACTTCTGAGGCACTTTCCTTCAAATTTCACTTAAATGTAATTTGCTCATCATTGCTCATTTGTAGATTGAATGAACTCTAATTCAGAAGTCAAACAAAAATTAGCGTTATATTTACAAAAAACTCTAATTGCTCTGAAAGACTACTTCACACTGTGAACCATTATGTCACTGTCACAATGTTTCACAAACAATCTTCCTTCTTGAGTTATATTCCGGGTTTTCTTCAAACATGTTTGTGTCCTTTGATGCCAAGTGATGCAGAATTCGCTTTCATCTGAAAATATTACTCCTTTCCTGAATTCACTGACGTAGTAATATATTTTTGAAAATGTTAAGCGCTTTATTCAATTTCATCTAGAAGTGTATTGTTTACGGATACAAAATGTTTTCAGTAGCTTTCGAAAGGAACTGGCAAAATGTGTTTATAAACTTCCTTTCAATATTTTTGTCAGCTGTGATCCAGTTAGCCTAGGATTTAATTTAATGACTAATTGTATTGCAAATTTTCATTCCTGATAATTTCGGTCGGCATCCTGTCCGTGGTTTTGGCATCAAACTCCTATTAATTTCAGTTTTTTAATCCTTCCTTGAATTGAAACATTTTTTTTTTCTGTTAACTACTCGACAAAGTTTTGGTAAAGGATGCCCCATTTTCACAGGTCTGTAATGACTTTTCTTCCCGTTCAAATGAATTCCTTTTCATTTAAACTTGCATTATAAGTATTTTAACTTCGAAGTTCATATATTATTACTATTATTATTATTGTTATTATTATTATTATTATTATTATTATTGTGTTGTTGATGATGATGATGTTATTGTTATTATTATTATTATTATTATGGCATGGCTGAACTAGTGCCTGTGAATTTTATGCTTGCATTTTACGTACAAGACCACAAAAAATAATTGCATGATAATAAGTGAGGCAAACATATAACGTTTATTTATAAAAGTATTAATGCCAAAGATAAACAATCAATGTTATTCATAATACGACTTAACTATCTGTAATTGACACGTCTAAGTATGTTATACATATTAAACGTTTATAACATTATTTTTTAATTCGTAACATTCATTGCAGCCGTCAATTATTAGCATCAACTACAAGGAAATATTCATGCTTTAAGAAATTTTGAATTCTACCTCTTCTTGTAGTATTACAAATAACTTTAAATTAGTAGTATTAACTATATAAAAATTAATTGTTTTAATAATATATGTCATACTTATAACTATAAAATAATATATTTTATTTCTTAAAGTCATTTCTAAAGTCGAAGTCAATTTTTAGAATACAAATCGGATGGATCCACATTACAGGAACATTTTCTTAATTTAGACTAACATTATAGCGGGGTATGCATCAAATGTGTTGATTTATTTGAGTCTGCTATGACTATTTTGAATTTTGTGTCAAATAACTTAGTTTTGTGTTAAATAACTTAATTTTGTGCTAAATAAATTTAACGCACTTCTTTCTTGTAATAAATAACAATTGTCATTGTTTATATTTTTCAATTACTTAATGAAAACTTAATGAAAAATTATAATGGCAAAAATACTTCAATAAAATGTAACAAGCTCTTGTATATCTTATTCTTTTATTTCTATGCCTTTCTCAACTTTTTATTTAAAATACTGCAGATGGTAAGCGAAATAAACACCGTTTTAAAGCTCTTTCAATAAAAGCATACTTATTAAAGTTGACATGTTAATCATTATCTGCAAGGTAATGAAATTAACTCCATTTTGGTGCTCACTTTAACTCTTATTTTCATTTCTTTACATTGCATAATTGTTGTCTACAATTCAGCTAAAAACATCTACATATTTATTTTGTTTTTGTCATTTTAATTAACTTAAAAATATTAACATTTTAAAAATTAATTGCATACATGACATATAGGCTCATTGAGTATATTGTCTTCAGATTAGTTAGCTACATGATATACGTATTACTAAGTCTTTCTAAGACTTATTAGTATTTAATAACAGCTTGTTTTCCCTTCAAACAGACTATTAATAGCTGTTCTCTTGTATTTATAATTTGCACAGCAGTCTCATTTCAAACATTATCGAAACCCTGATATCATTCTCATAGTGTTTTATAATGAGTTTAAAAGGTGTTTCTCCCACCTTCCTAGCGTGCCTTCGTGGTGTAGTGGTTCTGCACTCATAGCCGGTATTCCAGAGGTCCGTGGATAGATTCCCGGCGAAGGCGTTTGCTATTTTTCATCTTTCCTGCTTCCAAAAAAATACCTAATGTCTCTACACTGGCGCCCGAACTAAAAGGGTGGTGGATGAGGATTTCTCCCCATCCAGCATTTGGCGACTGGGCCCCCTGAAAACCCCAAGTCGCCCTTTAAAAGGGGGAGTATATAAGGCATTTCTCCCATCTTCCTAGCGTGCCTTCGTGGTGTAGTGGTTCTGCACGCTGGGCCGGTATTCCAGAGGTCCGTGGTTCGATTCCCGGCGAAGGCGTTTGCTATTTTTCATCTTTCCTGTTTCCCCCCCCCAAAAAAAATGCCTAATGTCTCTACAAGTTATCATTTCTTTAACGAAAGCATACCTCTAATTCTTCACTTGCATCAGGAGCTTTGTACTTTACTTCATAACTGCTAGCTCTAAAAATATTTTAACACAACTTGTCCAAAATTTAAGAACAATTTATTTCATCTGAGTAGCATTAAAGAAGCAAAGCCATAAAAATTAACAGAATTTTACATTAACATGATGCGTCGATGAAGCACTTTACACTGTTAATTGAAGGAAACATAGCAGTGGACTGTAACACGCTTTTACTCGTATATTTACACAGTTGAAGCTATTATTCACGAACACGAAATTGTGTCTGAAGATTGTTATATATGGCTATGACTAGCATAGATTTTACACAGGGCATTGAACTACCAATACGCTACTGCTCGCGGCTATCCCTTGATCTCTTTCCCTTCAGGAAGCTTCTTCACAGTAATATATGGAAGCACCTGATATTGAGCCTTGCACACTTACAAGCATTTAACCAACTTTTAATATGTCTCTTACGAAACTAGACTTTTTTTCCATCTCTATTCGTGTTTAATAACAGTCAATTTTATGACTTCATCTTCATATTTCGTTTTCACAGCTTCAGTGTTTTTAATCTCACCATATCCATAGCACTGTAAATTTGTTGCCATATCTATCAATTCTGTGCATATCCAACGACTCTTCCTGAAACTATTAATGACTTTTGCATCTATTTTGGTCCTCTTTGGATTAATCCTTTTCAGACACCAGCATCATGCGTCAATTAAGTACTTTTCGTTATCTAATAAAGAAACAAAAAACTGTTGACTGCAATACATTTTTATTCAATATAACTTAATTTTTATGAACACGACCGTAATCGACCGCAAGCTACTATACATGGCTATCACGAGGACAAATATTGCACATAGTCATAAACTGCTACTTTAACATCTATTTCTGCAGAAGACATGGAAAAACCTATACTGATCCAGACTTCTTTTCTTTTGATCTAGTATTACAACAGTATTCTGATAATGTTGGACTAAGCTCCAAAACAACAATCATCGATATTATTTCGCTTATTTGCGCCAATTATTAATTATTAAGTTATTATAAAACTAAATGTTATTCAGCAAATAATCTTACACAACTTGACTTCCATTTCAGCTCAATAGTTGGCCTTTCTAAACGTTGATCACTGATAAACGTTTACATTAATCGCTGATAAACAGAAGTAACGGTTGCCAGTGAAAACTATCTGAGTAATACATAATTTAGCTTTGAAAGAGTACCCAATAATTTGCACACTGGTAAAGGCTTATCAGGTTCAGTGTTCCTCCTTACTTGCTTGGGGAACATTAAATGACCTGACTCGGAACAGGGAGCTTACTAAAGCTATGTTCAATAAATGTGGGAAGTAGACAAGATAACACAGGGTAAGGGTATACGAAACCCTTTATTTTTTCTCTTTACAATGATTTCCGGACTTCGGAATACAGAGACCTACCACTTGTGGTCTGAACGTAAGAATAAAAATATTAACTAAATTCTAACTAAACTAACTTTGGATTAATAAACCAAGTGTCTACTTGAAGATTGACCGTATATTAACAGAAAGGCCGTATGTAGTACAGAGACCTGTTAACACTACGATACGTTTAAAATCATCAAGAGGATTAAACCTCTGGCCTTGAAGGCAACCAGCAACCGAGTAAAACTGCTATGGCAAGCGGCCTGCTCCTAATCACTCCTTCCTCTCTCTTGCTTGGCAAAAAGCCACAACTTAAGTACTTGGCGTTCACAAGACAAATTTGCATAAATAAGTTAAAGCTTTTAATTCTGGCCGGAAGTAGAAAATAAGAAGTGATAGTAAAGATTTAAAATAAAATAAACGTTAGTAAAACTTAAAATCTTTACATACTTCCCGCCAGAGTTAATTAGTTTGAAACTGAGGTCTAAAACGACCTTGTTGAAAACTTTTAGCTCTATAATCTAACGCGAGGCCAATCTTTTACAAACAGTTCTCACTAGAAACTAGAAATTTAAAAAAAAATCGTTTTTTACATTATCAATTCCATGGACAATTACTTTTCATCTGTACTGCATCTAAAAGGAGTGTTAGTTGAAATCGGTTCCTTCCAGAGATCTGGAGGGAAAACTAGTTAATGAAATGTTACACAATTAAATGGCAAGTAACATGAATATTTATATTCTCTTAACATTCTTATTTCATTCATGACTTTATTTAATTATCTCTCCCCGTGCTCTCTGGCATGTGTTGTAAAGAAAACACCAAACACGAATGTGTTTATGTACAAGTGTTCAACACTACCGCCTGCAATCAAAACACTAACGTGTTAAAATTCAACATAACAAGACCTCATAACACACTTATATTCATCTCTAAACCCTGAGGTACTATTCTGAAAGTGGCTACTCTGAAGTGTAGCGTCAGAGAGCCTAACTACATTCATTCACCTTTAACACATATTCACAATAGTTTTCTCTTTTTACAGTCACACGAATAAGTTAAATTTTTTTGCATTACTTTCACTTTAACATATCACAGTATTTCTTAACGCTTAAATAACAGTTAACATTGTATATAAGAACATATTAACATGCCGTTAATTTTACGCATTTAAAACATACATTAGTAGTACATTGTTAACTTCTATTCTTTTCCAAGCAAGTGCCAATTTTCTACATTGAAATACTACATTTCAAAAGTCTTTCAGACTAAAACTTCTTTCTTGCCAGAATCTTTTTAAATAAATTTTATACAATAACTTTTACAATATTCAAGTATTTACACATTCCTATTATATATTAATTTTAGTTCTACTCGCGAGTAATTGAAAAACATAATATCAAAATAGGTAACAACTCATTTCTCGCCTTTTTGGCGATAAAGGTAGACCTCACATGAGGTAAAACGTCTTGAAATCTGCCACTTGCAGTAAGAATGAAAGATTAACTTAAGGTTTGCAAAGTAACATAAAACTTTTCATTATCTTTGTGACATTCGGACATTCTTTTCACTGCCCAGACCTGGAAGGTAGCGAAGACTTCGTGTTTGATTTATCCTCCCTCTTGTGCGGACTCGCCCTTCAGTTCCTTCCTGTAGGAGCTTTCTTTTCCCTCCAGTTCGGTCACCCTTGAAGACCACCTTTTCCGCCTCTGCCTGTGGTCTTGGCCGTTTGATGGCAGCTGGTCTTGGCGGAACCGGGACATTTCTCTCTCGTTCCTGCTTGGATCTCGTTGCTGGCTGTTCCATGGAGGTAGGAAAGGGAGGAGGGGCCATTCCGCGCTAGAAGTGAAGCACTGCTTTGAAGCTTGGGTCACCAGACGGGGTGTTCTTTGTTTACATTCAGAAGCTCGCTTGACAAGTTTCTGATAGTATTTCGACACACGACAGTTCCATAGAAATCGAAAAAGGGACACTCTCGCATGAAAGAAACATTCATAGTGTGATGGATAATAGCAATTTGTACAGTTTACTGACATTTACGCAAAAATCACATCCTGGTTATTTTTCGATAACTAACAACAGCGATTTTGATTATGAATTTGTTTTATAAAATTCTAAGCTGTTGCACTACAAAAATATAGATTTTAAGAAATTGCTAAAAAAGATCTGCCAAAATTTATTTTCTAGAAGATTTGAAAAGTTTGAAACTTGATGGCTAAATGTAAATATAAAATTATCTATGTTAAAATATTTGTAATTAGGCACATAGGTCAGATTAAGTTTTTATTAAATAGAGTACGCATGCAAGGGCTATCTGCCTAAAGAGAGAGATGCCATCGTGGAGGAATTTTGAAGAAAAACTGACCTTTGAGTGGGTATTAAAAATAATACTTATAATTTTCATTCAAATTATATTCATATATATTTTTATATAAAACTTTCGGGTGTATGCTTAATTAGTGTAAATTACTTGACACGAAAAATATAGTGAATGCACAGAAATTAAAGTTTTGCACATGCCGGAAATGATAAATAGGAAATATGTATGGGTATTTATGCATGTGCTTGCAAAAAGCATGTACCTGCCTTTGACAAAATACTTAAATA